GGGGGGGGGGGGGGGGGGGGGGGGGTAGAGTACCCGACGGCCATGGTGGAGCGAGGTGGTGCGGCAGGCTATGGCAAGTTTGCAAGCGAGCGGAGGGCTGTGATGACTGTGTGAGTGGCTTCGAGTTTTGAGGTGAGGAACATTATATAATCCTGAACAAAACCCTAGCTTTTGGGGTTAGGGTTAATTACCAAAAAATGCCCTGTATTTTGACACAGTTGCAAATAAACCCCTAAACTTTGAAATTTTGTACTAAATGCATTAAACTATGATTCTCTTTGCAAAAAATTTCAGGCGCCAGCTTTTAAAAACACTTGTGATTCGCACGCCCAAAACAGGGCATGACACTGACAGTAACGTTGACACTGACTCACTCTCTCTAACTGGAACTCAAATTCAAACTCGTACACTTATAAAAAAATAACCCCATTACTAGACCACACTGTTATGCATCCTTCATTTGTTTTCTAAGTATTCTTAAGAATCAAAAATAATAATTGGACTTGGGTTTCAGATATTATTTTAGAAGGAGTTGATCTAAATTAGAATAGAGTTAACGTGGATTGAATCAAGACTTGTGAATAATAGAGTTAGAAATGGAGTTTGAGAGGCAATGTTAAGAATTGTTGTAGATAGAGAGTATAGGAGAAAAAGTGGGAATTTGAAAGTCGTTCATTGTGATGGTAGTTGTTTGGATGTTGGGTGGTGGTGCAATTGGTGATGGAGGAGGACGGAAAAGCATGGAAGAGAAGGTGACGATAGAGACATGAGGTGAAGGGCGGAGTGTTTGGCAATGGTGATGGTGATGGTGATGGTGATGGGCTTCATTGATGCGAAAGGGAGAGAGATAATTAAGGAACAAAATTTGAAAGATTAGGGAATTGTAGAGAATGAATGGGTTAGTTGTATTCACTTTTATTTATTTTTAGTGCCAATAACATCGATGAGTTTAGCCTACATCTACGGAGGGGATGAGAACTACTAAATTGCTTTATGAGATTCAAATTCCANGTATTTTGACACAGTTGCAAATAAACCCCTAAACTTTGAAATTTTGTACTAAATGCATTAAACTATGATTCTCTTTGCAAAAAATTTCAGGCGCCAGCTTTTAAAAACACTTGTGATTCGCACGCCCAAAACAGGGCATGACACTGACAGTAACGTTGACACTGACTCACTCTCTCTAACTGGAACTCAAATTCAAACTCGTACACTTATAAAAAAATAACCCCATTACTAGACCACACTGTTATGCATCCTTCATTTGTTTTCTAAGTATTCTTAAGAATCAAAAATAATAATTGGACTTGGGTTTCAGATATTATTTTAGAAGGAGTTGATCTAAATTAGAATAGAGTTAACGTGGATTGAATCAAGACTTGTGAATAATAGAGTTAGAAATGGAGTTTGAGAGGCAATGTTAAGAATTGTTGTAGATAGAGAGTATAGGAGAAAAAGTGGGAATTTGAAAGTCGTTCATTGTGATGGTAGTTGTTTGGATGTTGGGTGGTGGTGCAATTGGTGATGGAGGACGACGGAAAAGCATGGAAGAGAAGGTGACGATAGAGACATGAGGTGAAGGGCGGGGTGTTTGGCAATGGTGATGGTGATGGGCTTCATTGATGCGAAGGGAGAGAGATAATTAAGGAACAAAATTTGAAAGATTAGGGAATTGTAGAGAATGAATGGGTTAGTTGTATTCACTTATATTTATTTTTAGTGCCAATAACATCGATGAGTTTAGCCTACATCTAAGGAGGGGGTGAGAACTACTAAATTACTTTATGAGATTCAAATTCAACATCTAAGGGGAAAGGCCCAACAACATTAAATCCAATGGGTTCAAAGGTCATGTACAATATCATGGGCTGCGTTTCGGCCCTTGTTGATCCAATGGGCTGGACCTTTTTGACCCACATAAGTGATATGTCGGATAGGTCCGTAAACAATTTCGTGGAATAGGGGTAACAATCGTGTTGTGTAGTGTTATTTTAGATTCATGTCGAGTACTAGTCAATTCTAACCTAATTCATTTAACTAATCGTGTCGTGTCGACTTATTTATGTTCGAGTTGATTTATATAACTCGTGAATAAAAATTTAACGTTCACTTTATGTCTAAAATTTTAATATCACTCAATCGTACATATTATCATAATCATACTTTTTCTACCCACTAAAAACTAACTTAATAAATATAAAAATAATAATAATTAAAAATATCTTTTTTTGTATAGAAATTAAGTCACTACTTGATAAAATATAATAAAAATTAACATTTTATTCTTATAATACTACTTAAAAGTGTTAATCGTGTTAATTTCGTATTTTTCGTGTTTGACACTAATCCAACCTATTTATTATTCGTGTTAACAGGCCGTGTCATATACGGGTTCATGTCGAAAAATGACCAACTCTAACCCACTAATTTCATGTCGATTTCGAATCATATTTTTGTGTTGTATCAAAAATAGCCACCCCTATACAAAAGCATCAATTCAAAATTTTTACTTTAAAAAACGTAAAAGCCGTGGCATTTTTTCTTTATTTCTTATTTTATTTAATTTCAGCCTTCAGGAGGATTGGTCTGGGCAGCCCATTGACCCCCCCAACCCTACCTGATGCCGAACCGGAAGGGACAATAACCTATTCAAGATTGGATTAATTATGTTGACTTCTTGGGGTGTATAATAATATCAAATTAAGCTCCTGTATATCCTTAGACATTTTACCCAATTTCCAAATTTTATTTTTGTCAATATTCATAATTTTCTTTCACATCATTTTTCAATTATAATCTCTCCTAACTCGAAATAGATGTGACTGACCTTCAGCACCATTCAAATTGGGCAGTAATATGGTCCAATCGAATTATTTCGTTTCTAGCTCGTATTATATCATAATTTATTGTCTGAAAATTGGGTCATTTTGGACATGATACGATTGATTAATCAGGCCAAAAATATCTTACTCGTTCATTATTTGAATATCACACCTAAGTCACATAAAAAATTTAAGAATTTGTTAGATCGTGTGGGAGATATATATATATGTAAGTTTATCTTGTATGCAAAGAAGTTGATTTTTTGGGTAAGGGTGATGGATTAATTTACGTATACTTCGATTAATTTCATCCCCAGTTCGGTTTAAGTCAAGTCATCCATGCGAGGACTAGAAAATTTACGAGAGATAAATCCCTTATGACCTGATCTCAAAAAAATTATTAACGTTCGAACTCAAGACGTGTGAATTTACTACACACTTCTACCTTAGATGTAATAGTCCACAGAAACATACATGAAGTAACACCTATTTCTAATCCCTTTCATTCTCCAACAAATTATCACTATTGTTCCATTAATTAATCGCCATTTTAGTTGGCATGTATGAAAGGTTGGTACAAGTTATGTTGCAACAATCTAGATTTCCATTTGTAAAGGTATTTGCCCTTGACCTCAAAGACAATAAATTGACTATACATGATGTTGTGTGTGTGTGTGTGTGTGTGTGGTTGCGTGAAAGTCATACTATTTTAAAGTAAATCCTGTTCAGTCATATTCGTCTTTTATAAGATTGTGATAAATTAATTTATTTACTATATGAATCGAATCAAAAAAAGTGANGTGTTTGACACTAATCCAACCTATTTATTATTCGTGTTAACAGGCCGTGTCATATACGGGTTCATGTCGAAAAATGACCAACTCTAACCCACTAATTTCATGTCGATTTCGAATCATATTTTTGTGTTGTATCAAAAATAGCCACCCCTATACAAAAGCATCAATTCAAAATTTTTACTTTAAAAAACGTAAAAGCCGTGGCATTTTTTCTTTATTTCTTATTTTATTTAATTTCAGCCTTGGATTGGTCTGGGCAGCCCATTGACCCCCCCAACCCTACCTGATGCCGAACCGGAAGGGACAATAACCTATTCAAGATTGGATTAATTATGTTGACTTCTTGGGGTGTATAATAATATCAAATTAAGCTCCTGTATATCCTTAGACATTTTACCCAATTTCCAAACTTTATTTTTGTCAATATTCATAATTTTCTTTCACATCATTTTTCAATTATAATCTCTCCTAACTCGAAATAGATGTGACTGACCTTCAGCACCATTCAAATTGGGCAGTAATATGGTCCAATCGAATTATTTCGTTTCTAGCTCGTATTATATCATAATTTATTGTCTGAAAATTGGGTCATTTTGGACATGATACGATTGATTAATCAGGCCAAAAATATCTTACTCGTTCATTATTTGAATATCACACCTAAGTCACATAAAAAATTTAAGAATTTGTTAGATCGTGTGGGAGATATATATATATGTAAGTTTATCTTGTATGCAAAGAAGTTGATTTTTTGGGTAAGGGTGATGGATTAATTTACGTATACTTCGATTAATTTCATCCCCAGTTCGGTTTAAGTCAAGTCATCCATGCGAGGACTAGAAAATTTACGAGAGATAAATCCCTTATGACCTGATCTCAAAAAAATTATCAACATTCGAACTCAAGACGTGTGAATTTACTACACACTTCTACCTTAGATGTAATAGTCCACAGAAACATACATGAAGTAACACCTATTTCTAATCCCTTTCATTCTCCAACAAATTATCACTATNGACTAGAAAATTTACGAGAGATAAATCCCTTATGACCTGATCTCAAAAAAATTATTAACGTTCGAACTCAAGACGTCTGAATTTACTACACACTTCTACCTTAGATGTAATAGTCCACATAAACTTACATGAAGTAACACCTATTTCTAATCCCTTTCATTCTCCAACAAATTATCACTATTGTTCCATTAATTAATCGCCATTTTAGTTGGCATGTATGAAAGGTTGGTACAAGTTATGTTGCAACAATCTAGATTTCCATTTGTAAAGGTATTTGCCCTTGACCTCAAAGACAATAAATTGACTATACATGATGTTGTGTGTGTGTGTGTGTGTGTGTGGTTGCGTGAAAGTCATACTATTTTAAAGTAAATCCTGTTCAGTCATATTCGTCTTTTATAAGATTGTGATAAATTAATTTATTTACTATATGAATCGAATCAAAAAAAGTGATCATAAATTATACCCACAATTTTTTTTGTATCGATTTTGTATAGGGTGTCAATCGTGTNTTTTGTATCGATTTTGTATAGGGTGTCAATCGTGTCGGGTTAAACGGTTACATGTCGGGTTAAACGGGTGACGGGTGAAAAACCAATAAACCTATACACGACGTGTAATAAACGGGTAAAAAATCTCAATACGAACGACCCGTTTAATAAACGGGTAACTAACACGACACAACTCGTTTAACCCGTTTAATTTAAAAAAAATTATATCAACAAATTTTAATACTCAAATTTTTTTACTCCTAATTGCACTTACCTCAAAAAAGAAGAATTTTAAATCAAATCTTATAAAAATAAGACTTGAAGGCTATAAAAAAAAAAACAAGAGGCTATTGCCTTTTATAGGCAACTCACCCTTCTCATCTCCCCTCATTTTTCAATGTGGGACAAAAATAAAAGACATTGGTTTGTCTTTGTCTTTCAAGTGCTTTACAACTCCTCTCATTTGTCTTTGAAAAATATCTTATAAAAATAAGACTTGAAGGCTATAAAAAAA